CCCGCTGCCGCTGCCGCCGCTGCTGCTGCCGCTGCTGCTGCTGCTGCTGCTGCTGCTGCTGCTGCTGCTGCTGCAGGCCGGGGCCCCCGTGCTGTGGGTGAGCGACCCGCTGCACGGCAACACTCGAGTGGGCCCTTCGGGTCGAAAAGAAAGAAATCTCGCGGAGGCCCTTCGCGAACTTTCTTTAGTCGTTTGCAAACTCGCAGCTGCGGGGCACAAACTCCACGGAGTCCACCTCGAACTCACAGGTTCCTGCTGCTGCTGCTGCTGCTGCTGCTGCTGCTGCTGCTGCTGCTGCTGCTGCTGCTGCTGCTGGTGGTGCGTTTGCTGCTGCTGCGTGCACTGGTAGGTTCCTGCTGCTGCTGCTGCTGCTGCTGCTGGTGCGTTTGCTGCTGCTGCGTGCGCTGGCGGTGGTGGTGGTGGTGGTTGTGGTGGGTTTGTTGCTGCTGTTGTTGCTGCTGCCTTAGTTGCTGCTGTTGCTGCTGCTAGCTGCTGGCGTAGCTGCTGCTGGCTTAGCTGCTGCTGCTGCTGCTGCTGCTGCTGTGAGGCCCCAGGCGAGGACGTGCGGGAGTGCCACGGGGGCCCCCCAGACCCTGGGGGCCCCCCCCTTACTGCTGCTGTCTTCGACCCGCAGCTAAACTGTGCCCAGGCAGTGGAAGTTATTTTCCACTTAGCTGCGGAGATGGCTGCAGCAGCAGCAGCAACTAAGGGGGCCCAGGGGGGCCCCCAGGGTCCCCCGGGGGGCCCCCAGGGAGCTCCAGATGGCCCCAACGGGGCCCCGGGAGCCCTTCAGGGGGCCCCGGGGGGCCCCCATGGGGCCACTGGGGGCCCTCAGGGGGCCCCGCGGGGCCCCCAGGGGGCCCCGGGAGACTCGGGGGCCCCGGAGGGGCCCCAAAGTTCTGCTTAAAAGCCATAGAATGGGCCCAGGGGGCCTCAGGGTTCCTTAGGAGTCTCTAGGGTCTTTAGGGGGGCCCCTAGGGGCCCCAAGAGGGGCCCCTAGGCCCCCAGGGGAAGCCCCAGGGGCCCCTAAGGACCCTTCCAGGGGGGCCCCCTGGGGGCCCCCAGGGGCTTTTCTAAAGAGATCTTGAAGGCTTTGGGAAACTGTGGAAAGGGTCTGGGGGCCCCAAGGGGCCCTCAGCTTCGCACAAGACCCCAAGGGGCCCCCAACTCAGGGGACCCATAGGGGGCCCCCAGGGGCCCCCAGGGGTCCCCAGGGGCCCCCAGGGGCCCCCAGGGGCCCCCAGGGGCCCCCAGGGGCCCCCAGGCTACCGTGGTCCCTTGGGGAGCTTATAGGTGGCCTGCCGGGGGGCTCCCAGGGGCCCCCAAGGCAGCCGCAGGACACAGTGTAAGGCACAGCTAGCCACACAAAGTGTTTCGACTGGCTGTTGGCTCAATGCCTAGCTAGCTAGGTGGCTAGCTGGCTCTCTAGCTAGCTAGCCAGGTGGCTAGCTGGCCAGCTAGGTGGCTGGCCAGCTAGCTAGCTAAGCGGCTAGCTAACTAGCTAGGTGGCTGGCTAGCTAGCTGGCTAAGTGGCTAGCTAGCTATCTAGGTGGCTAGCTAACTAGCTAGGTGGCTAGCTACCTATCCAGTCGGCTAGCTAGCTGGGTTGCTGGCTAGCTATGTGGCTAGCTAGCTGGCTAGGTGGCTAGCTAGCTAGGGCTAGCTAGCTGGCCACTCTTTGGCTATTTTCACTTGAGTTTTAAAGCCGCGGGCTTTCAACTCTCGTTAAGTTTCGCTGCTTTCTTTTAGGGTTTAGGGTTTAGGGTTTAGGGTTTAGATCTGGGGCCAATTCAGCTCCAGAAGGTCCTTAAAAGGGCCCCCTGGGGCCCCCAAGGGTTCCTTGTAGGCCCCTTTTGGGGGCCCCCAACTGAACCCTATGGGGCCTCTTAGGGGGCCCCCAATGAGCCTCAAAAGGACCTCTTGGGGGCCCTTTGGGGGCCCCTCAAGGGGCCTTTAGAGGCCCCTTCTAAAGGGGCTTTCGAGGGACCCAAGGGGCCCCCATCCGACCCCTATGAATCACCGTGGGGGGCCCCCAAGGGGCCCCCAAGGGGCCCTCAAGGGGCCCCTAAGGGGCCCCCAAGGGGCCCTCAAGGGGCCCCTAAGGGGCCCCCAAGGGGCCTACAAGGGGCCCCCAAGGGGCCCCTGGGGGCCCCCCAAAGCAGTTCTCAGTAGGGGGCCCCAAATGGGCCCCGAATAATCCCCCAGTTCCCTATGGGGCCCCTTGAGGGCCCCAAAAGAGCCCCTGGGGGCCCCCCAGGGGCCCCCAGAGGACCCTGTGGGGCCCCTTTGGGGGCCCCCAAAGGGCCCCTGGGGGCCCCCCAGGGACCCCCAGAGGACCCTGTGGGGCCCCTTTGGGGGCCCCTAAAGGGCCCCCGGGGCCCTGAGGGGCCTCTTGGATTTATTTGTCTTCATCAGAGTCTTCAGAGCCGCTGGATATTTGCTGCAGCAGAGCAGCAGCAGCAGCAGCAGCAGCAGCAGTTAGCTAGGTAGCCAGCTAGCTAGCTAGCTGGTGTATTAAATGGCTAGCTGGCTAGCTAGCTAACTGGCTGAGGTATTAGGTGGCTAGCTGGCTAGCTAGATAAACAGGTCGGCAGCTAGCGACAAGTGGCTGGCTGGCTAGCTAGCTGGCTAGCCAGCTAGCTAGCTAGCTAGCCAGCTAGCTAGCTAGCTAGTTAGCTAGCTAGGTGGCCAGCTACTTGGCTGGATTGCTAGCTAGCCATCTAGCTAGCTAGCCAGCTAGCTAGCCGCTGGTGGCCGTGGCTGCAGCACCAACTTGCCCCCCCCAAACCCTAAACCCTAAACCCCAAACCCCAACCCCAAACCCCAAACCCTAAACCCTAAACCCCCAACCCCAACCCGAAACCCCAAACCCTAAACCCTAAACCCTAAACCCTCGCGGACCCTGAGGGGGTCGTCGCAAACTCCGTATTTCTTGAAAAGGCGCTGGAGGGTTTTGGTTTTGAAGTTGTCTTTATTTTTTAATTCTGCAAACCCTACAATGGAGTGTACAGACACCCCACTGCGAAAGAGAGCCAAAGTCGGCAGCTGCCAAACCCTCAGCTTCGCGCTGAAGAAAGGGGCCTTTTCCGCGTTCAGCCTGCGCCAAACCCTAAACCCTAAACCCTAAACCCTAAACCCTAAACCCTAAACCCTAAACCCTGCATGGTGCCTGGGCCTACGAAGTGGAAGCCCTGCCTGCGGCAAGGGCAGCAGCTGCTAAACCCTCAGCAACAACGCGAGTCTGCAAAGCTTCCAAACCCTAAACCCTAAACACTAAACCCTAAACCCTAAACCCTAAACCCTAAACCCTACTTGAAGAAGCGCGTCTCCACGTGGACCTTCGCGAGAATCTCCAAGTGCTTATCCACAATTCGGCAGCGCTCAAAACGGGGACTGTAGAAGTGGCAAACCTAAGCAGCAGCAGCAGCAGCAGCAGCAGCAGCAGCAGCAGCAGCAGCAGCAGGAGTAGCAGCGGGAGCAGCAGCAGCAGCGAAAGCGGCGGCAGCAGCGCCAAAAGCAGCAGCAGCAGCGAAAGCGGCAGCAGCAGCAGCAAAAGCAGCAGCAGCACAAAATACAGAAGCAGCAAAAAAGAAAACGACAGCAGCAGCAGCAGCAGCAGCAGCAGCAGAACGAGTGACCCCAGGGCGCTTGGCAGGCGCCACCGACCAAAGCACTGAATTAGGGTTTAGGGTTTAGGGTTTAGGGTTTAGGGTTTAGGGTTTACGGCCTTCTCTGCTGCTGTTACAATCCCCAAGAAATCCGATTCTTGAATTTCTGTATATTCCCCATGGCCCTTTTCTCTAAGGGCAGTTTGCTTTTGCTTCGCAGCCTAAATAAATAAATAAATAAATAAATAAATAAATAAATAAATAAATAAATAAATAAATAAATAATAAATAAATAAACAAATAAATAAATAAATAAATAAATAAATAAATAAATAAGAATAAATAAATAAATAAATAAATAAATGTGTTTGAAAGAATGAGCTCTTTAGGGTTTCTGGGGTTTAGGGTTTAGGGTTTAGGGTTTAGGGTTTAGGGTTTAGGGTTTGGCGCGCCCGGAGCTCCTGCATGCGCCGCTCACGCCAGTGAGACAAATCGTCGAGGCCCTTTCCCTCCGCTTCCTCTGCAGCAAAAAGTCCACAGCAGCAACTGCTGCTGCTGCTGCTGCTGCTGCTGCTGCTGCTGCTGCTGTTGCTGCTGCTGCTGCTGTTGCTGCTGCTGCTGCTGCTGCTGCTGCTGCTGTGGTGCATGGGCAAACTGCGCTGCGAGAAGCTTACCGGATTCAACCGCGGATAAGTTGGAGACTGTCCTTTGCTGCTGCTGCTGCTGCAGCTTCTGCTGCTGCGCAGCAGCAGCAGCCAACTTGTCCTTCGCTGCCTTCTCCTGCAGCAGCAGCAGCAGCAGCAGCAGCAGCAGCAGCAGCAGCAGCAGCAGATAATGCCGCCGCTGCTGCTGCAGCAGAAAGGGCCTCCAGCGCTGGCACCGAGGCGGTCAGGATACCCTGCCTTCAAAACGTATACCCTAAATCGTCTAAACCCTAAACCCTAAACCCTAAACCCTACACCCTAAACCCTGAAAACCCTAAACCCTAAACCCTAAACCCTAAACCCTAAACCCTAAAGCCTCACCAACACAATGTTGGTGGCAATTTGAGCCAGCTTTTCCGAAGTCGCCATTTCCGCGGAGTTTCACAAAAGGCCGAAGAGCTTAGTCTCAGGTGTACGTACACCCCACCCCCCAGCGTCAGCAGCAGCAGCAGCAGCAGCAGCAGCAGCTGCAGCAGCAGCCTCTGCGGGTTGCTGCAGCCGCACCAGCAGCCCCGGAGACCAATTGAAATTGTTTTTTGAAATATTTGAAAAAGGAAATTCAAAGAAAGAAAACAAATGGTGCAGAATCGCGAGCGGGTGGCGCTGCGGCGACGGGAAGCTGCGCATACACCCCAAATGCGTCGGCGTTGAACGGATCTTTTTAATTATTTAATTTACAAACAATTAATTAAATCCAAATTAATTAATATTTCGCAATAAAAGGCAATGCGAGGCAGCAAGACAGTCCGCCAGAGGGCTGCAGCCTGCGGGCGGCTCGCCACTCCGCGAGATTGGGGTGTATGTACACCTCAGCACCCGTTCAAAAGCTCCAATAGCTCCTCAAAACGTAAAGTGCTGTCACTTTTATTTTATTTGGCGCAAAAAGAAGCAAAAGAAGCAGCAAAAGGGGCAGCAAAAGGGCCCCCAGGGGGCCCCTGCGCGGGGGCCCCCTTCAGTGTATGTACACCTGGTGGGGGCCCCCAGCAAACACGCAGCACTCCCAGAAGCACATTTTGAGCACTGAGGGGCTTAAATTGGTTTATTAAACTCTTTTTTGTTTTATTTTTATTTATTTTTAATTTTATTTGTTATTTCGTTCGCTTTTTCGTTCTTTTGAGCCCTTATTTGTTGAGAAGACCCGGTGAGGTGTACAGACACCTCAGATGCACCTTCTACAGTTGCCCCTAATGACCGCCCTAGGCAAAAACAGCCACTGGGAATCCAGCAGCAGCAGCAGCAGCAGCAGCAGCAGCAGCAGCAGCAGCAGCAGCAGAAGCCACAAAGGCTGAAATAATTAAAGCATTGAAACGTTTCCGCCTCGGCCTATAAAGCCCAAGCGTTCTATGACACGCAGCAGCATTTGCTGCTGCTGCTGCTGCTGCTGCTGCTGCTGCTGCTGCTGCTGCTGTTGCTGTCGTTGTAGTCGCTGCCGTACTCCTGCTGCTGCTGCCGTCCCTATTGCTGCTAGTGCTATCGCTGCCATTGCTGCTGCTGCTTCTGCTGCTCCCGCTGCTGCTGCTGCTGCTGCTGCTGCTGCTGCTGCTTCAGGCAGCCTTTTTGGCCCATCTTTGTATTCTGCTTCTCGTGGCTGCCGAAAGAGCTCCTCCCCAAGTGGGGTTTATTTCTGTCAGCTTTTGCTGCTGCTGCTGCTGCGGCAATTCCGCAGCAGGTGCACACAGACCAGCAGCAGCAGCAGCAGCAGCAGCAGCAGCTCCTGCTGCAGCTGCTGCTGCTTTTGGAGAGGCTTGCTGGCAGCTGTCTGTATTTTCGTCGTCAGTGTCGAATAGCAGGTCATTGTCTAGCTGCTGCTGCTGCTGCTGCTGCTGCTGCTGCACATGTTGCTGCTGCATTTGTAGCTCCTGCTGCTGCTGCAGTTGCTGCTGCTGCACCTCTGCCACTGCAGCAGCAGCAGATTGCTGAGGAAGCCTCACAAGCTCACCAAATGATAGGGGCTTCTCTACAGGGTCCCCCCAGGGCCCCCCCAGGGGCCCCCCAAGGGGCCCCCAAGGGGGCCCCCCTAGGGGCCCCCCAGGGGGGCCCCCAAGGGGGCCCCCAAGGGGGCCCCTAAGGGGGCCCCCCGTTTGCTGCTGTGGGGGGCCCCCCTCCCTTTTCCCTGGGGGCCCCTCAAAGCGCTGCTGCTCAAATGTTGTCTCTGGGGGCCCCTCAGGATGCTCTGGGGGGCCCCCAGGGGGGCCCCCATTAGCTGCTGCTGCTGCAGAGTCAAATGCACAAACGGGGGCCCCCCGGGGGCCCCCATAGGGGGCCCCCCGGGGGGCCCCAGGGGCCCCTGGGGGGGCCCCATAGGGGGCCTCCCTCCCAGCTGCTTCCGCGTACCCTAGTGAAGCCCTGGGGGCCCCCAGGGGGGCCCCCTGAGGGGCCCCCAGGGGGGCCCCCTGAGGGGCCCCCGGGGGGGCCCCCGGGGGGGCCCCCATAGGGGGCCCCCGTCTGAGCAGCTGGCTTTGGTCTTTTTTGAATACTTTTCTGTTTCCCTTTTGCTGCTGCTCAGAACTCCAAAGGGGTCGGAGGCACTTCTCAATCTTTGCTGGTCCTGCTGCTGCTGCTGCTGCTGCTGCTGCTGCTGCTGCTGCTGCTGCTGCTGCTGCGCCCAAACTCGCGAGTCCTTCCTGCTGCAGCCACGACTGCTGCTGCTGCTGCTGCTGCTGCTGCTTAGACCGCCAGCCCTCTCTTGCTGTTGCTGCTGCTGCTGAGCAAGCTGAGGGAGGGTCTGCAGCGCAGGAGTTCTGCTGCTGCTCCTTTTCCTGCTGCTGTTGCTGCTCCTGCTGCTGCTGCAGACGTTGCTGCTGCTGCTGCTGCTGTAGTAACAGACTTTCTTCCTCTGAAGCATTCCCCCAGCATATCTCCTGCCGCTGCTGCTGTTGTTTCTGCTGCTGTTGCTGCTGCTGCTGCTGCTGTATTTTACCAGCAGCAGCCTCCGACGCAGCAGCAGCAGCAGCAGCAGCAGCAGCAGCAGGAAGCTGGCTGCTTCCACAGCTGCTGGCCACTGGCTGCGAAGCCAACTCCAGCTCCTCCAGCAGCGCAGCAAAACGAGCAGCAGCAGAAACCCTCAAACGGGGGGCCCCCTGAGTTGGGGGCCCCTTATGGGGGGCCCCCTGATTGGGGGCCCCCTGAGTTGGGGGCCCCTTATGGGGGGCCCCTTATGGGGGGCCCCCTGAGTTGGGGGCCCCCTAGAGGTGGGGGCCCCCTGACTTGGGGGCCCCTGGGTTGGGGGCCCCTGGGTTGGGGGCCCCTGACTTGGGGGCCCCCTAGAGAGGGGGGCCCCCTGGGTTGGGGGCCCCCTAGGGGTGGGGGGCCCCCAGGGGGGGGCCCCCTGGCTGAGGGGGTAGGGGGGCCCCTCTTGCTGCTTTTTAGAGGGGGGGGCCCCCTGAGCTGCTGCTGCACTGTACCCTCTTTTTGGGGGGCCCCCCAGCTTTAAAGGGGAGGCCTGGGGGGCCCCCCTGTGGGGTGTATCTGCAGCTTGGGGTGTCTCTGCAGCAGCTTGCTGCAGACACAGAGACGCGTTTGCTGCAGCAGCAAGCGAGGCAAACGGCTGCTGCTGCTGCTGCTGCTGCTGCTGCTGCTGCTGTGGCTGCTGTGGCGTCAGACCTTGTTGCTGCGGCTGCTGCTGCTGCTGTGTCGTCAGACCTTGTTGCTGCGGCTGCTGCTGCTGCTGCGGTCGCTGCGTCTGCTGCTGCTGCCGCCGCTGCTGCTGCTGCTGCTGCTGCTGGAACTGAG